AAATAATTTGATGACCCAAATGTCATTATAACGCATTAAATGCGAGTAAAAAGTCTATCAATGACAGTTATAATTATATTTTTAATAAGATATCACAGTTATTATATATCACAATTATTATGCAGGAAAAAACAAATCTAATTGAAGTTAATAAAATTATATACGGTCTTTGACAAACTCATCTGTTATAGTCGAGTTCCCTGAAAACTGAATATTCAATAGATTTTTGAGCAAATGATACAAGTTGTGCCAAGTAGTGATGTTAAGATAAGAATCCCAGCAGATCACAGCTCTCTATAAAAGAAATCTCGCAACACACGAATTCTTGGAAACACAGGCCCAAGCCTAAGCAGCAGGAAAAAAAAGGCAAAATGGCCTGTTCTGGCTCTTCCATTCTGTTATTTTTTGTTTTTCTATTTTTACATCCTTCATTGCTACTCTCACTTCAAGTTCAGGATAGCTTTCTGCAATGTCTCTCAAAAAATTCTGAACTCTCCTTTCCCTTTTCCACCATCTTATACGCTCCAAAAAACTCTTCATACACTACTATTCTGCAATCTTCTGCTCAAAACCCCAGATTCACAACGCCTTCACTACCAAAACCAGAGTTTATATTCACTCCATTACAGGAATCTCACATCCAAGCTGCTGTTATTTGCTCAAAGCAGCTTGGAATTCATCTTAGAGTCCTTAGCGGAGGCCACGACTATGAGGGACTCTCTTATGTCTCTGAAATTGAAAAACCATTCATTGTTGTAAACCTTGCCAACCTTCGATCCATTAGTGTCGATATCGATGATAACAGCGCATGGGTTCAAGCGGGGGCTACAAATGGTGAACTTTACTATAGAATTGCTGAGAAAAGCAGAACTCATGGTTTCCCAGCTGGTCTTTGCACCACCATAGGTATTGGTGGGCACATCACAGGTGGTGCTTATGGCTCTATGTTGAGGAAATATGGACTTGCAGTAGACAATGTGATCGACGCTCGCATAGTTGATGTTCATGGAAGAGTTCTTGACAGGAAAGCCATGGGGAAAGATCTTTTCTGGGCAATTAGAGGAGGTGGAGGAGGCAGCTTTGGAATCATTACTGCCTGGAAAGTAAAATTGGTTCCAGTTCCATCAACTGTGACAGTTTTTCAGATTACTAAGACCCTGGAACAAGGTGCTATTAAAATCCTTAATAGATGGCAACAAGTTGCTGATAAACTTGACGAGGATCTCTTCATCAGAGTCCACTTACAATTGGATGGTGCTGGTAACGGAGGAAAAAGAACAGTATCAACCACCTACGGTTCCTTGTTTCTTGGTGATGCCAAAAAACTCCTCCAAGTAATGCAAAACAGCTTCCCTGAATTGGGTTTGACAAGACAGGATTGTATTGAAACAAGCTGGATCAACTCTGTGCTGCATTTGGCTGGTTACTCCAACGACACAGCACCAGAGTTTTTACTTGAACGGAAGAATATATATTCAAACTACTTCAAAGCCAAATCAGACTTTGCCAAACAGCCAATTCCTGAATCCACACTTGAGGAATTATGTAAAATGTTACTGGAACAAGAGATTCCTCAAATAGCATTGACTCCTTACGGAGGAATGATGAGCAAAATCTCAGAAAAACAGACTCCTTTTCCTCACAGGAAGGGCAACCTGTTCATGATCCACTACATGACCATCTGGACAAGTCCTTCAGATAATTCTGCAAAGCATCTAGATTGGGTTAGGAAGGTTTATGAGTACATGACCCCATATGTTCAACCAAGGACTGCATATGTCAATTATAGGGACCTTGATTTGGGCATGAACAAGAAGACTAACACAAGCCTTAAGGAAGCAAGTGTTTGGGGTTCCAAATACTTCAAGGATAACTTCTACAGATTGGCATTTGTGAAGGCCACAGCTGATCCTGACAACTTCTTCAGGCATGAGCAGAGCATCCCACCTCTTCCACTTTCCATGAGAAATTGAAGAAGAATTCATGGCTAGAGATATGTTTGGTAGGTGCACCATCCTTGTCTCCATTAGATCGCAGCCAGGATTTTTTTTTTAATATCGTTTAAATTTTGATGTAAATAGTAATAAGAAATTAATGCTGGAGCTTTTTTGAAAAAATAAATATTTTTGTTATCGTTTTTTTTTCCTTTTTTTTTTAGAAGTTCTAATGTTATTTGTATTTTATATTAACTCTCTAATTATTTTCATATTAATGATTAAAATTTAGAATGTTTAGTTTGTTTTTCAGGCATTTTGACCAGATAGCAAATGGCAAGATGTTAGAAATCTTGATACCATTTTATGAAATTCTTCATTTGAACAATGTGGTAATAAAAAGATTACTCGGCAAGTATTTGGGGTGTCGTGGATGTTTTATCCAACTCATATATGCAAGTGAAGACTAAAGTTGAACTAACGTCTTCTTCTCCTCTTTTTTTTTTTTTTTCTTTTTCTAAATTACAAATGCAAAATTTACTGTAGTTTTAATCAGAAAAGTAGATTTTTTCCCCCATAAATTATACATCTACATAACATCATTTTTCAAAGAAATGAGGATCTTGAGTGTTGAAATCAATTTTGAATTTTTATGAGAAGATTAAAGGCATTAAATGTATGTTTGATATTATAATGTAATATTTTTTTATAAATATTTTTTACTTGAAAATATATATATATATATATATATTATCAATGTTAAAACCATTAAAAAATGTTAAAAATTTAATTTAATATTTTTTCAAATTAAATATACTTTTAAAATATATTTAAATAAAAATAGAAATACAATGCCAGACAAAGTTTCAATCCATAGTAAGATATGACTTTGTGGTTGACACCCCTCCAACTCCAAGTCTACATATTTATTGCCCTTTCTTTATATTATAAGAGGGGTGGAACTAAGGAGAGGGCAAGCAGGGTCCGAGTTATTGCAAAACATTTTAATTTTTTTTTTATTTAATATTTTTTAATTTAAATAAATAAATTTTTAAATAATATATATTATTATATTAATTTTGACCTCTCCTGTAAAATACAACTAGCTCCGCCCCTGATTATACGGTAGATATGCTTGGATTTTGTGTTCCATGTTCTCTATAAAGTCTCTTTCTATCCACCTGCAAAGATTGCAAAAAGACAAGTCACGTTCAGGCACTAACATTAAAAAAATCTGAATGGTTTGGTCAAACACGTTGTATTCACATTAGGCCTACAGATTGTTTATTAAACCTGATTTCATGTTAAAAATAAAATAAAATTAATAGAGTAAGAATTATTAGGAAAAGAAACCACGTCTTTGGAGGTTCTGGATATTTAAATAAGAATTATGGATAAAATTTTAGTATAATTATGAATTTATAATATTTTTAGATTGATTTTTTAATTTGAAAAAAAATACATCTTGATCTTTAAAAATATAAGAAGATTTCATATTAGTCCATAACTGTAATTTTAGTTTTTTATATTGGTTTTACGTGTAATTAAGGTTAATTTGGTGAATTATTATTAAGTTTTATAATTTATTTTTTATTGAATTACATTTTTAAAAAACCATTTGATTTTAGGACATTAATAGAATTGTATTCCGCACATATTTCGAAGTTATTTTTACTTTTAAGTTAAGTGAGCAAATAATTTTTTATATAATAAAAGATTAATATAAATACTTAAATTGTTAATATAAAATTGATCGTGCCTCTTAGTAATTTTTATATTATTATTTATTTTTTATTTATGATTAAGCATAAACTAAATCTTCGATATTAACCATTATGTATTTTTGAATTGATAGCTCTTTATTTATTTCTTATTTATGTTATGAGTTGAACTTTAACATATGAATTTTTCTGTTTGATTATGATATGAATATATAGTATGCGAGTCAAAATATCCATGTTAACAAGGTAGTATTAGTCTTTATACACATCGTATTTGAACCCTAATTATTTGGGAGAGTCACCGACCTGTAACAATTGATTTTCTCACAGTACGGAGCATCATACTCATTACATTTTGATTTTTCAATAAGCTTTACCTTATGATATTCTTATTATGGTTTATTTGAGAAACTTTACTCTAAGAACTTTAAGTCATATTTGTATATATATTTTTTATTGTTGTATTACCTCGTATATGTATATTAAACATTATCCACTTACTAAGTTGTTGAACTTATCATCTTATTATTTATTAATTTCAGGCTTATAACATAACATTTTTGTTGGACTTTTAAAACTTATTTTTTGATTGTAATTAATATTTTTTCCTTTACAGCTATGATATTTGTATTAATTCTTGTATTAAGATAATCAATTTATATTATGAGGTTAATTATGTTATCATGTTGCGTAGAACTTTGTTTTGTTTATATAAGTGACTTTTTTTAAATTATTATTATTATTTAGGTGAAAAAGTTTGTATATAATTTTGAATTCATAAAGATATAAAAATATGAAGAATGTGTCAATCATGAGTTTGAAAATCAGATCGTATGTTATAAATTGAGCGAGTAAGAAAAAAATTTATTGAAAATAATAAAAAACTATATTGTTTTGAAAATTTTAAATGTTAAAAAATTTTTGTCAGGTCAATTCTTTTTATTTTTTAAAAAATCAGCTCAAAGTGCATATTATCTTCTCGAGTTGAATTGTTAGTGCCTATTTAGAAGTGTGGTTGATATTGCTTTTTAAAATGTTTTTCGTGCCGAAATGAATCAAAATGATTTTTTTTTTATTTTTTAAAAATTATTTTTGAAATTAGCGTATTAAAACGATCCAAAACATATAATTTTTTTAAAATAAATTTTTATAAAACATAGTTTGCACTATGTTTCCAAATGATTACAAGTCTAAATGTGCTATTGGAAAAGTCAATTATTACAAGATTCGATGAACCAAATGTGATTAGAACATGTTAATAAATAAGTTTGTCTATACCAACTAACTGGAGTTTTAATCAGCTATTTGGTCAACATTCTGCAATTGATGTGCAGTAAAAATCAAATCTAAGTAGTGTTGTAACGGTATGTATGGTCATGGACAAGCAAATCTATTTTAGAGGGCTTGTGTTCCCCGAAAACAGAGTATTAAATAGAGTTTTGACAAATGATACACGGATCACAGCTCTCTTTAAGACAAATCTTGCAACACAAATTCTTGAAACACAGGCCTAGGCAGCAGGAAAAACAAGCAAAATGGCCTGTTCAGGTTCTTCCATTCTGTTATTTTTTGTTTTTCTATTTTTACATCCTTCGTTGTTACTCTCGCTTCCAATTCAGGATAGCTTTCTGCAATGTCTCTCAAAAAATTCTGAATTCTCCTTTCCCTTTTCCACCATCTTTTACACTCCAAAAAACTCTTCATACACTACTATTCTGCAATCTTCTGCTCAAAACCCCAGATTCACAACGCCTTCACTACCAAAACCAGAGTTTATATTCACTCCATTACAGGAATCTCACATCCAAGCTGCTGTTATTTGCTCAAAGCAGCTGGGAATTCATCTTAGAGTCCTTAGCGGAGGCCACGACTATGAGGGACTCTCTTATGTCTCTGAAATTGAAAAACCATTCATTGTTGTAAACCTTGCCAACCTTCGATCCATTAGTGTCGATATCGATGATAACAGCGCATGGGTTCAAGCGGGGGCTACAAATGGTGAACTTTACTATAGAATTGCTGAGAAAAGCAGAACTCATGGTTTCCCAGCTGGTCTTTGTACCACCATAGGTGTTGGTGGGCACATCACAGGAGGAGCTTATGGTTATCTGATGAGAAATATGGCCTAGCAGCAGACAATGTGATCGACGCTCGCATAGTTGATGTTCATGGAAGAGTTCTTGACAGGAAAGCCATGGGGAAAGATCTTTTCTGGGCAATTAGAGGAGGTGGAGGAGGCAGCTTTGGAATCATTACTGCCTGGAAAGTAAAATTGGTTCCAGTTCCATCAACTGTGACAGTTTTTCAGATTACTAAGACCCCGGAACAAGGTGCTATCAAAATCCTTAATAGATGGCAACAAGTTGCTGATAAATTTGACGAGGATCTCTTCATCAGAGTTCACTTACAATTGGCTGGTGCTGGTAACGAAGGAGAAAGAACAGTATCAACCACTTACATTTCCTTGTTTCTTGGTGATGCCAAAAGACTCCTCCAAGTAATGCAAGACAGCTTCCCTGAATTGGGTTTGACAAGACAGGATTGTATTGAAACAAGCTGGATCAATTCTGTGCTCTTTGTAGCTGGATACTCCAATGATACAACACCTGAATTTCTACTTGAAAGGAAGAATTTATACAAGGGTTACTTCAAAGCCAAGTCAGACTATGCAAAAGAACCCATATCTGAAACCATACTTGAAGGTTTATGGGAAAGGTTGTTAGAAGAAGAGAGCCCTAATATAGCGTTGACTCCTTATGGTGGAATGATGAGCAAAATTTCAGAAAATCAGACTCCTTTCCCTCATAGAAAGGGTACTCTGTTCATGATCCGCTACATGACCAGCTGGGATCATCCTTCAGAGAATGATCCAAAGCATCTAGATTGGATTAGGAACGTTTATGAGTACATGAAACCTTATTCAACCAAGGACTGCATATGTCAATTATAGGGACCTTGATTTGGGCATGAACAAGAAGACTAACACAAGCTTTAAGGAAGCAAGTGTTTGGGGCACCAAATACTTCAAGGATAACTTCAAGAGATTGGTACTGGTGAAGACCAAAGTTGATCCTGACAACTTCTTCAGGCATGAACAAAGCATCCCACCTCTCCCACTTTCCATGAGAAACTGAAGAAGAATTCATGGCTACAGATATGTTTGGTAGGTGCACCATACTCGTCTCCATCAGATCACAGCCAGGAATTTTATATATATATAGAGTTTAAAGTTTAGTATAAACAGGAATAAGAAATTTTAAAGAAATGTATTAAAGAAACAGTGTTTCCATACCAATTTTTACTTTCCATTTTAAGACGTCATCCTGAACAGTATCACAGGATTCGGTGCCGAAATAATTGACCAGTTAGCAAATTATTTCCTTGGCAAGATGTTAGAAATCTTGATGTCTTATGTCTATAGTTCTCTGGAATTCTTGACTTTGACACGGGTAATAAAAAGATTTCCCGGCAAGTATTTTAACTGTCATGTTTTTGAAAGATAAATCCAACTCATTGATGCAAGTGAAGTCTAAATTACAAATGAAAAATTTACTACGTGGCTGTGGACAAGTATGTGTCATTGATTCTAGCTATAAAATCTAGACTGGTGGTTAACTCGGGATCTAATTGATCTAAAGATACATTAGTCCGAGTTTAAAAAAAAATTAAGAAAAGATAAACTTGGTTTAACCCATTAAAAATCTTGGGTTAGCCTAAGATGAATAAACCAGGTTAAACCTGCTAAAAAACTATTGTTTTTTGGAAAAAAAATAAATTATTTTATTCAAAATAATATCATTTTTACCTTTCATTTTTTTTTTTTTATAGATTAACCTCTCTACTTCTGTGCTACACTTTGCTCTGAATCACTCCAGATGTTGTTTTATAACTATAATTTCAATTAGAAAAGTAGAAAAAAAGAATCATAAATTACACATCAGCGTAGCATCACTTTTCAAAGCAATGACGATCTTTAGTGTGCAAATCAATCAACTTTTTTTTTTTTTCCGGAAACGCAGAGAATGTCTTATAGAAGAACACAGACATCAGATAGACAATTCTGAGATTAGCACCTGAATTACTTATAAAATCTACTTGTTAGGTTTTGCATCGCACACGCATATATCGATTTCATGCCTAACAAACTCGACCTTTAGAGTATTTCCGGACCAGTTTTCATACATCAAGACTAAGCATATCTGGACTCAACTTAGCTAGGCACATACCTTTGGCCAAGCTAAAGCTGCAACAGTCAGAATTCCATCTTTCATTCTCAAAAGAAGAAATTCCGAGTTTGTTAGTTCAAATCAATCAGAACCTATTCTTAGAACCTTGCTAGTTAAGGAATCCAATGGGTTTATGCTCCTCTTCAGCCTTCTCAAAGAAAAACAAGCCAACAAAAAGTTAAAAGAGACTCCTGACTAAATAATACTGGCTGAGCTAAAGTGATGTTCGGATTCGTAGAGGTAGAGGAATGCTCAGACCGATTGTAAAATGCAAAGCAGAGAAGCAAGAATAGCAGCAATATGGTTCCTTCTTTCTCTTTCATTACTCAATACTTCTGGTTCTTCTGTTATCACCATCGATATTTTCATTGCTTCCAATCCAAAATAGTTTTCTACAATGTCTCTCAAGAAACTAACAATTTCATCTCATTTTCCACTACTTCTTACACCCTAAACAACCCTTCATTCACCACTATTTTGCACTCTGCTTCTCAAAACTTGAGGTTCACCTTGCCATCAGTTCGGAGACCTGACTTTATCTTCCCAACTTTGCATTGTCAAGACCATCAAGTGAGCAGCAATCATGCACTGATTCCAGAATTACCAAATCTGCAGCTAATATAGCCAGGAACACTTCAAAGATTCTGCACTTTGACAGTGTTCCTTGCTATGTTTGCTCAGATTTGATTCTGGAATCAGTGCATGTTTGCTGCTCACTTGATGATGTCTTAACATGCATCAATATCATGTCGAAGCTGTTGTTATATGCTCAAAACAGCTTGGAATTTATATTAGGAGTCTGTATGCTGCAAATGTCAGCTGGTTTTCCAGAAGAGGAGCAAGATATCAGAATCTCATCTTCCCTTCCCTCATAGGAAAGGTAATCTGCTTATGATCGGCTACTTCACCATCTGGCTTAATCCTTCTGAGGATTGGGCAAAGCATAAATAGATTTGACTAGGAAACTTCGTTTACAAGTACATGACACCTTTCCGTGGGGACCTTGTTGTGAATGGAGACAAATTAGGCTCAATACCAGCTGCAAATCAAGCTGAAAAGGAATGGATTTTCAGGGAAGATATTTAGGGGATTATCTACCAAATCATAGGGAAAATTATCTACCAAATCATAAGGAAAGAATCCTGGTGTGTGCTCCCCATTTCAACTATAAATATAGGGTTTTGTAAGAGCCATAGACACCGAACAAGAAACACAGAATGATAGTGATAAGTGAGGTGAAAGTTACAGAGGGCTTGTGAGCTGAGTTGAGATAGTCTCTTTCCTTTTGATGTAATTTTCTGTTTTATCTTTTGTGAGTAAAATTATTAGTTTCGTGGGTGTAAGTAATCAGCCGAACCACGTCACACAGTGTTTTCTTAATTCTAGGCATTGATCTTAGGTATAACATGCCTTGATTTGGGGATGAACAAGAAGACTACCACAAGCTTCATAGAAGCAAGCGTTTGGGGTGCCAATTTCTTCAGGGTAACTTCAAAAGATCAGTAAAAGTGAAGACAAAAGCTGACCCTGACAACTTCTTCAGGCATGAACACAGCATTCCACCGCTTGCACCTTCCATGAGAAAAAGAGATTGAAGAGTAATTTTATATCATGCCTAGGAAATATTTATAGCCAAAAGTAATTTGTAGGGAAGTGATACATATGATGCAATAGTTATGCTCTCCTGTGAGCTAAAATCAACGTAGAAAGTTGATATTGTGGTCATATGCTGCAAATGTCAGCTGGTTTGCCATTAGTTAGTTAAGGCATGCTTGCTTCTTCAATATGCATGCACAATAACAAACCGCATCACAATGTCAGCAATAATATGAAAAATTAACTGAAAATAGGACATATAAGGTTAAGGCGAGAACCTAGAAGAACAAAAGATCAGGTCAATAGTTGACGTCCTTTCGCAAGATGTTAGAAATGTATAGCTAATTATGTCTTCATCATAAGTCCATTTAAAGCACTAAGCATTTGGTTAGTACAGAGATAAATACAATGGAGACAGAAGGTACATGCCCCTATATTATTTTCAAATGACAGAAATTCACTACAAAGCTGTCTTAAAAACAAATATATTTTATGTTTTTATTTTTATTTTTGCAATCAAACATGTTTTTGTCTTTTCTATAACTATTCTTGGGCACTAACAAAAAATAATATAATATAATATAATATAATGCTGTTGAGTTGGAATTAGTCAGAAAGAAATAAAAAATCTGCCTTCAAAGCCATGCCTTTGTTAGCAATATTTAATTTTGCCACTGTTAGGCCCCGAATATAGATTTTTTAGAGGCAAATTATATTGAAACCACCAAAACAAGAAGTCGTGTTGAATTTTGGAAGGCAAGACCAAGTGTATTAGGCGTTTAAGGAATGGATCCAGTTGCCTGATATAAGTGAAGATCAAAGTTAAATTCATAACCCTCTTAATTATGAATGCAGAATGTAAAAACAAAGATAAATCCAAGGCACTTGATATAAATGTGATAAATACTATAAATAAAATATTTAAATATAATTTTAATCTAAAAATATCCATATATATATATATATATATTAGATATAAAATTAATTAAATATCTTTTTCGGTTTCTAATTAAATAATTTAAAATATAAATTTGTATGTTTTTCAGATTTTTATTAAAATAAGCATCATTTTTTCAATAACTTTCCTTATTAAATAATTTTAGTAAAATAGATAAAAAAAATAATGATATATAATTTTGGTCCCATAAAATTTTGATATT